TTTACTGGCAGTTTCAAGTGCTATTTTCTATATCTTTGTTGGCATGAACTTGGGAGAAAATTGAATTCAAACCCATTTGCTTCCTATATTTTAAAATCTGCATTTTTGAGAAGACAGTAAGCAAACAGTGCAAGAGAGGGAAAACAACAACAACAACAACAACAACAAAACACCACTAGTTAATTTGTGCAGCCTTCCAACTTCCCATTGTGCTTCACTTTATGTGCATGCGTTTCTGGAGAATTCTGAATATATTGTCTAGCTCTCCACTCACTGCTGGCAGGTCACCCAAAGCTACCATTAGCTTTGTCAGGTTATTGTGTATTCTGGTTTTCAACTGTTTCAGGATAGAATGTCCTGTCTTGTGCAGTTTTGATAAATGTAAACATCCAGAATTTGGAAAGAAAGAAAAACTATATTTGCAGGTCAATCTGAATGCTAAAAGGGAAGATTAGGGACTCTCAGAACACTATGAGATCACACCAGAGTTCCAAACTAAGGTCCTCCTGCTTCTTGAAGATACTTAATAGTCTTGTTCCTCATTTTTCTATTTGGAAAATCCACAAAGTTCTGGTTTTTAAGACATTTCAAAAGAAGGAATAGGGCCTGGCACCGTGGCCTAGTGGCTCAAGCCCTCGCCTTGAACATGCCACGATCCCATATGAGCGCAAGTTCTAATCCTGGCAGCTCCACTTCCCATCCAGCTTCCTGCTTGCGGCCTGGGAAAGCAGTGGAGGACAGTCCAAAGCCTTGGGACCCTGAACCCATGTGGGAGACCCAGAAAGAAGTTCCTGGCTCCTGGCTTCGGATTGGCGCAGCACTGGTTGTTGCGCTCACTTGGGGACTGAATCATCGGACGGAAGATCTTCCTCCCTGTCTCTCCTCTTCTCTGTATATCTGACTTTGTAATAAAAAAAATACAATAAATCTTAAAAAAAAAAAAGAAGGAATATACAAGCATACTGAGCATACTGGCTTGCCATAATAACGCATTTAATAATAACAAGTATTGTAAAGTTTAAAACTGAATTTCTTTTTATTGGTTATTTCAATTCAGATTGATTTTAACTGTTAAATCAAGATCAACTAGAAGTAAATATGTCTTTCTCAAACGTGTATATAAGGCTTTCCTTAAAAAATTTCAGATAGACTCTTCTTACTCACATAAAAGTAATCTTAATTTAGACTGCCTGGATTTCAGTACTGTAATGGTCATAACTTGAACTCATAGCATCATATGATGCTTTTCTTTTTTCTTTTTCAATTAAATGAGAGCAATAAAATTACTTATCAAATAGATTCAGAAGCTAAAGCATGAAAACTAAAGCAATCCTTGCACTTAAATGCAATTGAGAAATAACTATATTGAGAAAGCTACTGGCTGAGAATGTATTTGAAGTTTCCAATTGGATAATACTTCGTTCTCTAGAAAAAAAGTGAATACTACAATTGCAAATTTCCAAATTCATGTAAGGATGAATACTTTTTACAGAATGTAAATAATAACTCAGTCTGATAAGAAAAAGGGAACAATGAGCAACATTGTCTTTCGACAGGATCTAACAGGAGGCCACTATAAATCAAGCAAATATTAATTCAAAGTAAACTGTCTACCAAGCCATTGTCAAACGTAAGATTTGCTGAATGCTGCAGTACAACAGTTAGCAGGGTCATGACTAAGATTTGGAAGTGGATAATGCTTAGCGAAATGTTTAGGGAAGTTCCAACCACAACTACTGGAAGCTGGGGGATGCAGGGGGGAAGGGGGGTTGTGGGGGTAGGAGGGCTTTGTGTAAGACTGCCCAGGTGCTGCCTTGGCCTCAATAGTGTGTGACAAACAGCAGACCTCCTGGGTCTAGAATCATCCCCTTTCTCCTCTCAGCCTTACACATTCTAAGAGACAATGGGATCAATACGCAGACTCTGCTTGGAACAGAGTCCCCACCCAGAGAAAGGGCAGAGGGCTGTGGCGGAATTTTGAGTGCAGTTCAAAATACGGCTGGGTGCTTTTGCCAGATCACCTAACGGTTCACAACAATGTGAAGTTCTTCAGATGGACAGAAAGATGAAATTGGATATGGGCACAGTTCTGTTTTTATTTTTTCATTCCTGTAGGGAAGGTTAAAATAATGTACAAACTACGTCAGCAGGCAAAAAAATCACTTGATTTTTTTTATTCTAATACAGTGCAATTAATGCATGATTCTTTGGCTATATTTTAACAAGGGACAAAATGCACATGGGCCATTGAAAGGAACAATTTTCACAGGTCTTCTCTCTATTTCAAAAGTTTTGTTTGTTTGTTTGTTTCCGCTATTTGTACTTACCTTGCCTTCCAGTGAGACAATGACACAGGTTCAGTAATGACAACTACACATTTTTAGAAACAGATTTGGTTCAAAGCCTACCTCTGTGAGGAATGACTCCAACGTCCTATCTTGGACCCAGCTCCACTTCCTGCTTCCCCTTATCCCACAGCTCAAGAAATTCGCGCCAGATTATCTGCCAATGAGATGTACCTTCATGTTTTACTTGAGAACCTCACCCACTGTTCCCTCAGGACCCCTCCTCTAATCCCGGCCCACCTACCCACCTACCGATCACCTGCGATAGTTACCAATCTCTTGGGCTCCCCCCCACCCCCCACACCGCCTCCTCCCAACCAACTCCCCATGTCCCCCACACCTTCCAGGCTCGCCAGAGCTGTATAAATGAACCTCCACGTAGGCCCCCTTGCCTTCTCTTGCCCATTTCCCCTCTTTCACCTGGCTCTCTCCTGTCCTCCATCTTGCCCCCTTCCCCTGCCCTGGCAACCCCCACCCTGCCACCATGGCAAGAGGTGTTTCACTTCCTGTCCCCACTCCCTCCCGTTCCTACGCTGCTGGAATAAAGGACCTCCCAAACACCTCGTCTGCACCTGCGATTCTGGCTGTGGTAAACTAAGCATGAAAAGAGGACTTGGCTGCGGAAATTAGCGGCACGTAAAAACTTAAGTGCATTTAAAACCTAACAAACCTTTACCACGCATTCTTTGTGGAACTTCGGCAAATATCCAGCCATCTTGGTTTCTGTTTTCAAATCCCTATGCCATGGGACACCTTCTTTTCAACTGAAAATTCAATGAGGCATTGCTGTGTAGACGGATAGATCTAGGCTCCGAGATGCTGGATTATTTTCTGGAGCCCCACAAACCTTCCCTCCGGGCACCGGCAAACTCGTTCCTACGCATCCTTTCCCAAACATTCTCTAATGTTCGACACTTCTCCCTTTGAGGAGCACGCTCTTCTCTTTCCCTAATGGAGGGCTGATGCGGGACTACACGCGCAGCTCAGCACGGGCGGATTTAGGAAAGCTGTGCGGTTTCCCCAGAGGCCCTCGACCCGCCATTCCAGCGCTCAAGCCTGGCGCCTACCCAGCAGGCCGCTGCCGGCGTCCGGTCGCCTGCTCCTGCCCGGGACGCAGCTCCACGGGGCGCCGGCAGAGGGCGGAGGCGTCACGCAGCTGGGGACACCCCCGTCGCCTCGGCCTCGCGGTTCCGAGGAGGACTAGGCCCGAGCGCCCGGAACTTCAGAAGCAGCGGCAGGGATTACGCAAACCCCGAGTTCTGGAATATTTTGGCCTCCGCAGTATTCTCCACGCTGCCGCCTCGACCTCAGCCTGCCACAGCCTCTCACAGCGGAGAAAAAAGCCGCTCGGGGTTACTTCAGAAAGAAGTAGCGAGGGGCCGGTGTGGGACGCAGGAAGGAGACAGGAGCTTTCTACAAAGGCTTGTGGGGAATGACAGCCCCCCAGCTTAGCCAGGAGCCCGAGGATAGAGAAAACTCTGGAACTCGTAGTTTTACAGGTCGCGACACATCCCAGTGACACGTTCATTTCCTCAGCGGGCTGTGAGGGGCGCTGTGCCTCCTCGGGGGGCTGTGAGGGGCTGTGCCGCCTCGGGGGGCTGTGCCGCCTCGGGGCGCTGTGCCTCCTCGGGGTGCTGTGAGGGCGCCCTGTGCCGCCTCGGGGGGGGCTGTGAGGGGCGCCCTGTGCCTCCTCGGGGGGCTGTGAGGGCGCCCTGTGCCTCCTCGGGGGGGCTGTGAGGGCGCCCTGTGCCTCCTCGGGGTGCTGTGAGGGCGCTGTGCCGCCTCGGGGGGCTGTGAGGGGCGCTGTGCCTCCTCGGGGGGCTGTGCCGCCTCGGGGGGCGGCGTGCCCAGCCCCGCTCGGCCGTCTCCCGGGCCGGGCGCGCTCCCCCGGCCGCTGGCTGCAGGCCCGCCGCTGTCCCCTCGGCGACGCGCGCAGCAGCCGCAGCACCGCCCCCGCGTCTCCGCCGGCTCGCCGCGACTTCCCCGGAGCGTGCCGAGGCTTCGAGAATCGAAACCGAATCGTCAGCAAGCCCTTCCCTCACGGAGGAGCGTGGTTCGCGTGGAGGAGTGAACTCGTGGGTCTAACGACATGGCCCGAGTTCACCGACAGAGTAAATGGGGTGTAGACAGTTTATAAGAAGGAATGACCCGAGCCCCCCCAAACTGCACTGTTTGGGCCGTGGTCCTGGGGTTGGGGTTCTCGTTTGGGACGTCCGTGTAGTGGAGCCGTTCCAGCCCTGATCCGCTTCTGATGGCCTCCCATGAACTCAGCTGACTGTCGGGGTTTTGAGACGTGTTTCCTTGTTGCGGGGCGAGGTCGGGGAGGTGGATGAAGAGGCACGCGTGGAGGCGTACAGGATTCACACCAGACACACACACATCCCCGAATCCCCGCGCCCAGCGCCACAGGCAGAAGCCCGGCGCGGCGAGCGTGGACGTCCCGCGCGTGGCACAGCCGCGGCTCGGAGGGACGCTGAGGCCGAGGGGGCGGCGCCCTATGCAGATGAGGAGGGCGTGGCGAGCGCCTTGCGCCGGGGCCCCGGAAGCGCGGAGAAGCCCGGTATAAAAAAAGTACTGAAGACGTTTCCCCCGCACAAGTGCTAAAGCTCCAGAGACGGGAGCGCGTGCGGCGGCCGAGCGGGAGCCGCCACCTCCGGGACCACCGCAGCGGGGGCGGGGGAGAGGGGCGCGCGGGGCAGTGCGGGCGGCGAGGTCTGGGCAAGGACCGAACCCCTGCCTCTGCCGGCCGGGCACTCGCGACTCCGGGGAGTTGTCGCTCCCTCTCGGTTCCTCGCTCTCGCCGAGCTCCCGCAGGGGCGGCTGCCTCCAGGTGACACAGACGGGACTCCCGCTTGCGCTTTCCAGATGCATCAGAGATACTTTTGGTGCGGGGGCTGCTGTGCGGGGTGCGGCGCGCTGCGGGGGTGGGGGGTGGCGAGGGCGGGGAAGGTCTGTGAGGGATCCCCGGGCCAGGGCGACCCGAGGAGGGGCCGGGGGGCCAGAAGGGGCCAGGGGGGCCAGGAGGGGCCGGGAGCTCTGACCTAGGTGGGGCCAAGGCTGCCCGGGGGGTTGCTTGGTCTCACCGTTGTCTTTCTCCTCCCCCCCACCCCCCTTCTTCCTCCTAGGACCGACCAGGGTCAAGTGGCTCTCGGCGGGCACTACATGGCTGAGGGCAAAGGGTACTTTGCCATGGCAGAGGACGAGCTGGCTGGAGGTACCTACATCCCCCTGGGCGGCGAGTTCGGCGGCGGAGGTGATGGCAGTTTGGGCGGGCAGTGTCTGGACTACTGCGAAAGCCCCACGGCGCACTGCAACGTGCTGACCTGGGAGCAAGTGCAGCGGCTGGACAGCATCCTGAGCGAGACCATCCCGATCCACGGGCGCGGCAACTTCCCCACGCTCGAGCTGCAGCCGAGCCTGATCGTGAAGGTGGTGCGGCGGCGCCTGGCGGAGAAGCGCATCGGCGTCCGCGACGTGCGCCTCAACGGCTCGGCCGCCAGCCACGTCCTGCACCAGGACAGCGGCCTGGGCTACAAGGACCTGGACCTCATCTTCTGCGCCGACCTGCGCGGGGAAGAGGAGTTTCAGACTGTGAAGGACGTCGTGCTGGACTGCCTGCTGGACTTCTTGCCCGAAGGGGTGAACAAAGAGAAAATCACGCCGCTCACGCTCAAGGTAAAGCCGTCGCCGCGGCACACGCCTGGGGGGTCAGAGCAGGGGGCAGGCAGAGGGGCGGGCAGGGTGAGCCGGGCGACCCGGGGATTCGGAAGCCCGGGATGACTTTGGACTATCCCCCCGCGACCCCACCTCCCACCGCAGTGAGTAACCAAGGTGTGCGGTGGTGCGACTTTCTGTTTACTCTGCTATTTCCAGCAGCTTGGATTTTTCTCGCTTCCTCCTCTGCCTCCCAACTTCTTCCTTTTCCCTTGGGTTTTTAACCCTTGGCTTTTCTTTCTGGAATCTTGGCGCTGAGTAGATTTCTGATAGGTGGAAGGAAGGGAACAAAGTCAATCATTGACGACGTTGTCTGGGAAAACAGCAGCAGCCGGGAGCAGAACTGAGTCAGTGGGTTTTGTATTGTATTGGAAAATGTGAACAGATTGCATGGCTGCCTTCAGCTGACTCTGTGAATTAGGAACAGTAGTTGGTGGTGCCCGGTGTCGCTGAGCTTATAGGCTGCTGCCACCCCTCCCCCTGCTGCACTTTGGCCCAAGGCATGTTTTATGTAATTAGCTAAAACTGTCTGAGGAGTCAGCTTCCCCGTGCCATCCTGTACTTCATGCTTGCCTGTAAGTGCACAGGAACCCTGGGGTGACATACAAGATACAGATAACATTGATGGCCCTGGGGGAGGGAACAGGGCGACGGAGGAGGACAAGATGAGCGACATACTCACCTCTGTATGCTCTTCTGTGTCTTTGGACTATTGTGTGGATACTGTGTGAATATTGTGCCCATTAGTCCACTTTCAAAAAATAACATTTAAAGAGTCAGACATGACAGCAGAACCTCTTACTACTGTGCTGCGTCTGCCAGAAGCCTCAAACTATTACTTCTAGTCTCTCCCAGACAGTAAAGCTACTCGTTAATTTTTTTTTTTTTCTGTTTTCAGAAGATGGCTTAAGTCAGTAGGTAGTGTTTTTGCTGGAACTTGACAAACAAAAGGAAAAGTAAATGATTCTCAGAGATGAAGAGGGTGTATGTATTTCATTACTTTTTCTAGGTTTACTCATTTTCTTGTTTTATCTTTTTACATTATAGGAAGCTTATGTGCAGAAAATGGTTAAAGTGTGCAATGACTCCGACCGATGGAGTCTTATATCCCTGTCAAACAACAGTGGCAAAAATGTCGAACTGAAATTCGTGGACTCCCTGCGGAGGCAGTTTGAATTCAGTGTAGATTCTTTTCAAATCAAGTTAGACTCTCTTCTCCTCTTTTACGAATGTTCAGAGAATCCGATGACTGAAACTTTTCACCCCACAATAATTGGTGAGAGCGTCTACGGAGATTTTCACGAAGCCTTTGACCACCTTTGTAACAAGATCATTGCCACCAGGAACCCGGAGGAAATCAGAGGGGGAGGCTTGCTTAAGTACTGCAACCTTTTAGTGAGGGGCTTCAGGCCCGCCTCTGATGAGATCAAGACCCTTCAGAGGTACATGTGTTCCAGGTTTTTCATCGATTTCTCAGACATTGGAGAGCAGCAGAGGAAACTGGAGTCCTATCTGCAGAACCACTTTGTGGGCTTGGAAGACCGCAAGTATGACTATCTCATGACCCTTCATGGAGTAGTGAATGAGAGTACAGTGTGCCTGATGGGACATGAAAGAAGACAGACTTTAAACCTTATCACCATGCTGGCTATCCGGGTGCTAGCTGATCAAAATGTCATCCCTAACGTAGCTAATGTCACTTGCTATTACCAGCCAGCTCCCTATGTTGCAGATGCCAACTTTAGCAATTACTACATTGCACAGGTTCAGCCAGTATTCACATGCCAGCAACAGACGTACTCAACTTGGCTACCCTGCAATTAAGAATCATTTTAAAATAGCCTGTGGGGAAGCCGTTTCAGACAGGAATTGGGGGGGAGGGGAAGGGAAAAAGTGGGACCCAGCCCGATTAGGAATGTGTTTTGTGCAATGATGATATGCTCTAAGGTTTAACTTCGGAGAAGCTTAGGGATGTTTGCATAGGTATGGGAGTTTGAGCTTGAAAGATCGCCCTCCCTGCCCTCCCTTTATCTTCCTACCCAACTGGATTCTGTCTGAAACAAAAGAGACCTGCCATTAAAAACAACCAGGTTCTCCTAAGATGACAAGAAGAAAAATCACTTGATGACAACATGGGTTTGCAGTCAGCTGCTCCCATAGCTTTGCTGTAAGAGGGGAGAAAAGTGGAACAGTTTATTTTAAGGTGGACATCACAAAAGGGAAAATACGGAGGAGAAAAATATCTCACCTCCACTTGTTTATGAGTTCCAAAGTTCAGATAGTAACGGTACAGGAAGGAGGGAAACGCCAACATTGACATGACTGAGTTTGTAGCAGTTGTTTCTGTGGTGTGAAGAGAGAAGGCTTGCTCCAAATGAACAGTGATAGGTTGGTGCAGTTCTCATAACAAACAGAATTTAAGATGACACAATCCATTAATTTCAGCTGTGTGCATAGCTCGCATTTTTAAAGTGTGAAAATGCAAGTAAAAACAGCTGTAGCAAAGAGAGTATGCTCAAGGACCAAAGATTTATCAGATTTTAAAAAAAAGTAGAAGAAATATAGCCGAATATATGAAGAATACTATATTTGTTACAGACCAATACACATCAAAGTGCCTGTTGCCTTCTGAAAATTTTAAGTGGAAAATTGTTTAATGGTTTAATGTTTATTTTATTTTATCAGGGACTCAAGAGAAAATAAAACAACATATAAGCTTGTGAATGATGGAGAAAATGCCCTATTTTTATGGCAAATACTTGTATAAAATTAACATTGTTGCTATGATATTGTAGGTATCTGTGTGTATATTAGGTGTGTATATATATGTATACATATATATATACACATTGTGTGTATACACACAATACATTGACTATGATCTAGAATAATGTATCAAATAGGACATGTTTACTATATGTTTTTATGTTTTCAAAAGGATGATATGAAACAAGGGCATATTGCAATGATGAGTTAAAACCTACAACTAAAGAGATTAAATGAAGGAAGAAAACAAGTAATATATTTGATAGAAAGAACAGAGACTATACATTTTTAATGAGGCCTTTTTCCCTTTCCTTTTTTATGAGCCAGGGAATTCCACAATAGAATATTTGTTGGCAGATGACTCTTTTTATACTAAGCTGCCATTTGGACAGTTTGAACCCTTCCTCCCCTTTAAAAAAATAATTGTATGCCTTCATGGTATATAATCCATTGGATTGTGATCAGTGGTAGGGTATTTAAATTCCTAACTGCTTAAAAAAAAAAAAGAATTTCTGGTGATCTGAACACTACTTATTAATATTTAAATCAATTCTAATTAATGCAGTCTGCATTTCTGGACCACTAGAATTTAGTAAATGTGAAATGACCCTTTTTAAAGAGTATTTGCACAATTGCTTAAAGTTTATATATGAGATATATATTATATATAATATTTTATAAATTCATGCCAATATGAAACTTCTTTAATCTGGTTGTCACACTGCATTTAAATATTTATTACTGTAATTAAATGACTTCTCATGAAATCAAGTCCAACCTTATTTTGTCTTTTCTGGGAGACCAGTATACTTTTGTGAAATGAACTGACATTACTATTGCAGTTCAGTAATGGCTGATCCCCAGACTGCCCTTTTTCCCCAGCCCTGAATTCCTCTAGACACTGGTCTCTGAAAATGTATGTGTTAAAAACCAGACCAACACATAAAAACTTCCCTTTCTGTAGTGAAACAACCACATCCTCCCCATTAACCTTAGTGGATGTTGCTTCCTATGACAGTTCCTCTGAATACTCAGCCAGAATTGTGTTGTCAGTAGAGTACTGGGGGAGAACATAGCATCCACCTATTGGCAGTGTAACATGTTCGCTAGTTATCTGGGTAGCTCTTAAATGTCCAGTGCTGGATTAATTTGGGCAAATCTACCTGGACGGATTTTGTACATTTCTCAGAAACCCTAACAGGAACCTGATGAGTTTGCTGTCACAGCTTCCCTGTGAGTTCTCCAAGAGCTGACACGGCCCTTGCATTGCCACCCACTATTTCCAGGGGACACTTCTGACCCCCCTTTGGCTTTATCTCTTCACTTCAGACCTGGATTTGAAAATTAACTGCAGTGTGCCAGGAAAGATTTCATGTACATGTTAAGCCTCATGCTTACCTTTTGGAAGAAACTAGAGCTCTGCCTGTTTAGCTGTTTGGAAGTTTAAACAAAACAAAACAAAACAAAAAAACACAAACATAAGGCAATGCTCAGAAACACGGAAGCCATTGGTGACCTGCTTTCTTCTCATCCCAACTCTTGACAAATTAGCTGTTTACTCTTTTTAAAAAGTCTGGAGGTCTCTGACTCTGACATAGCAACAACCTGCTATTAATTTATGACACAGATTTTTGTATGGAGGAACCCTATTTGAAAATACACTCTCATTCTCAAATATTTCTATTCAGTTTTTTCCTTACTTCTGGGTTGGTAACTTAGTTGGAGGTGCCAGCACCTAGTACTGAGCTAGAACAGACTGTACTCAAGGCTATTGTCAGCATTTACTTTAATATGTATATAATTTATTTCTATTTTGTATGTACTCCAGTCTTGTGCAAATGTAGTTGAATACACAGTGGATTATATGTCTCTTTTTGTGGATACGTGGCCTAAACATTTGAATGTCTCGTAAGAGAGCCATGTGTATAGCTCAGAGAAAGGAATAGCTCTCAGCTCCCAATTAGTGCCTGTGTTTGCTTCCATGTTTACTGGCCTTGTGTGCTGTAACTTTAAAACAGGAAGACATTTTATCTTCTGGAGGCTCTTCTCACCTGTCCAGTCAGCCATGTCAGAGAATACTTTGCCTGCTGCAGTGCCCTCTTAAAAAGTTTAGTTCATTTGCAGTAAATGCAGCTGTCCCCCGAACTCTTACATCACGGTGGACTTGTCCTCTTCAGAAATGGGATCACAAGTATCTGCTCACTTCGACATTGTGTGGACTATTATAACACGGCTCCAAAAACTACAAGGATAGAAAATGATCTGTAATCCAAGGAAAGAAGGAAATGGAATGAAAAGTGAACATACTGTTTTTCCCACCCCTTTCTGTTTGCTTACCGTTGGTTACTTTACTGTGCATATAATTGTTTTCCTTGTAGTACTTGTAAAATAAATATTGTGGACTATTTTGTAAATGAAATGTACTGCGTTGAAAGCTGTCAGCAGTTTCAAAATAAGCTTTTATTGTTGTTGAAGTGCATTAGATGAAACCAAAAAGCCAAAAAAAGTAATTTCATATATAGCATCTATTTGAATATACTCATTCTTTAAGATTTCTTTTAGCATAACCTTTTCAATGCTAAGAAATAATCTATGTAATATTTTGTTATCATAATGGCTTGCTAACAAGGTAAATGGTAAAAACACATAGTAGGAAGATGTCAAGGTAACTTGGCAAGACTTGCTGCAAAGCTTTGCAGAACGGAGGAGGCTCTGCCCACCACCGGCTGTCTCTCTCTCCAACCTCTCTACATCCATTGTCTGCTCTGAGGCATCCTATTGCAGCAAGCTGCACTTTGGGTCACTCTTTGGGGATATTTTGACTACAGACTGTGTCACAGGCAGAAAAGGAGTCAATCGAACATGGACTCTTAAAAACTGACATGTTTTAATCAGTGCTAGAGGGATCAGATTGTGAATTTTGTTTACAGCATCCAATATTTGGATTTTTTTGTAAATAAAAAGAAGTTATTTTTTTCTATTGATTTGTGTCTGCTGTCTTTGATGTCTCGTGTTGGCTAAAGACCATGTCTTCTAAATCGCAACCTGACAAGGCAGTATGTGGAGAAGACCAGCCTTCAGCAACTTTCCATTTAAAGTACAGGAAATGGAAACATTCAACCTGCCGCACCATCTCCGACCAGAAAGAATCCAGCTAAGAAACGCCAAAAATATTTGCTAGAGAATTAACTTTAAAGGGTGAAATGAGGAAGTTGGAGCTGTTTCCCACTACCAGTGGAGACTCATGACCACTGACTGCAAGGCCCTAGGAGCCTTGAGTGGACCTTGGCTTTCACGTAGAGTTCAAAAGCTGTGATTTTGTCACTGGTAACTTAAAATATATTTTCTGTTTGAGCTTCTATAGTTCTATTCGTAGCTTAAGTTGGGGGTGAGGGTAATAAACAGCAACAGCCAGGAATTGGCAGGGACAGTAGAAGAACAATCAAATTGAAAATACTTTATGCACATGCTGGGTGCTAGGACATTGCCCTTTGGGCTAACATTTAATGTAATCATATTTAATCAAATTACCAGGGTCATACCTTTATTAATTAAGCTTTTTCTTTCTGTAATTTTGCAGATTTTCAAAATACTAGTTGCATGACAATTTGATAGGCTTAGGCTACTATACCTGCAGCTTTGAAAACAATTTAAAACTCAGATGTTGGATAGAATGAGTGTTTGACATTATGTCTAGGGAAGAGCCACTCCTGGTATTACAATCAGCCTTGCTCACATGCACATTATAAAAACATAAAGTAGTTATTTTGTTTGATAATAGTATTTGTGTGTCATTTCTTTTCCTCCTTTGTTGCAACCTTCTCATTCTTTGACAACCAGTGTCTCACACGTCTGTGGTCATCACATAATTCTTTTTAAACAAGGGTTGAACAACAACAGTATATATTAAAGCTCCTTCTAGACTTAGATACACCCTACCATTTCTGGTTGAATTACCAGGCTGCACCCAGCAAAGCCTGGAGAGAAGTAATCTACACTTCCTTTCCTTAGGAACCTAATCCCTTTTCAGTTCCTTTAATAAGAAAAAGACAAGACAAAAAATATCAAAAAGAAAAACCAAGGGAATTAATCTTTAAATTAAAGCAGAATAAAAGTTGTTAAAACCGCCAAATATTTTAGACATTAAACCAATTTCCTCCTCAGAACCTCATGTGAAACCTGTATTATGTTTTCTAGTAGAATGGTGGATGAAAACTGATTTAGGATAATGCTGAGAGGGCTAGTGGCGTGATGCTGCTGGTTAAGACAATTCTTGCAATCCCATCATCCTATGTGGGACCTTTGATTCAAGTCCCGAGTGTCCCATTTCTGATCCAGCTTCCTGCTGATGTGCCTAGCAGATACTTTGCCCCTTACTAACTGTATAACTTCTAAATCTAGACTCTGGTTTTTCTTTTGCCCTAGTTCTAGCTATTACAGCTATTTGATGAATCAACCATCAGATAGTAGGTACTTCTGCCCTTGTCTTTTTGTCACCTTGCCTTTATATTTATTATTTTAATATTTATTTCTTTTTAATGGCAAGGGGGATTTACAGAGAGAAGGAGAGACAGAAAGAAAAATCTTCCATCCTCTGGATTACTCCCCAAATGGCTACAATGCATGGAGCTAGACCTATCTGGAGCTTAGAGCCAGAAGCTTCCTCCACATCTCCCACATGGGTGTAGGAGTGCAAGTACTTGGGCATATCCCACTGCATTCCCAGGCCATAGGCAGCGGACTGGAATGGAAATGAGCAACTGGGACTTGAATCTATGCCCTATGGGATGCCAGTGCTCTAGGCTGAGGCTTATTGTGCAGCCCATGCTCTGCCTTTCAAACAAATAAAAAAGAATCCTTTAATAAAAATGATAGTGGCTTCTAACTAGCAGGATCCAGATCTTAGGGCTCAATGCCATTCTCCTATAAAAGGAACCAGGGACTCCTTGAAGAGGAGGCTAAATTTAGGTCTGGAAGAGAAAGTGGATAAGGAGAATCTGAAATGTTTGGTGTTCGAAAGCAACAGCGTGCTCCAAAAGAAAACAAGAAAAAGAAAATGGAAAAACCACTAGGATGAAGTAGAAAGGCATGTCAATATATTTGGGATTCCACTACACATTACGGTAAAGATAAATAGTTCATTTATTTTTCTATTAAAGATAGTTCATTTACATTTTTTATATTTTTCATTAAAAAAAAACCTAGAAGGCACAAATTTGTTGATGTTTCCACAAGAATAAAATGGTAAATGCTTGAAAATATAAATATATTTACCAATATTGAATATTACATAATATATTCATGCAACAAAACATCATAGAAACTTCCATAAATATGATTTTAGTTGTCTACTTTTAAATTGTTATTGTATTTTATTATATCTTTTATGAGAAAGGCAACTTTCTGGAGAGAAGGAGAGACAGAAAGAAAGAAAGAAAGATCTTCTATCTACTGGTTCATCCCCCAAGTGGCCACAATGGCCAGAGCTGAACTGATCCAATCCAAACCAGGAGACAGGAGTTTCTTCTGGGTCTCCAACAACGTGCAGGGACCCATGGCTTTGAGCCATCCTCTAATGCTTGTCCAAGCCACAAGCAGGAAGCTGGATGGAAAGTGGAATAGCAGGGACATGGACCGGGAACCCTATTTTAAAAGATTTATTTATTTATTTATTTATTTATTTATTTATTTATTTATTTATTTATTTATTTATTTATTTTCTATCTATCTATTGTGATGCAAGAGCTAACTGAAAGAGTTCCAGTTCCAAATAATCTGGGGGAATAGTGTCCCCTTCAAGGAGTGTGGGGTTTGCACACCAAGTGACTCCCTTTCAAAGGCTACAGTATATAAAACAAGATAGGAAATGTAATACACAAAAAGAAGTCTAAGAAGACATGAAGGCTCAGTATCACGTGGTATTGCAGATGGTGCCTGGGACAGACAAGGACATCTAGGTAGAACTGAAGAGAATCTGAATAAGGAATTATTACTAAGGCAATATTAACTTTCTGGTTGTGACAAATGTACCACAATAATATAGGAAGCCAACAGTGGGGTGTGGGATATACGGGAACTCTGTATGATCCTTACAATTTTTATATAAATCTGCAATTATTCTTGGATAAAAAGCTGGCTAAAACTGAGGCCTCCGTGCCCATTCCCTGCTATTTCTACAGAATGACTGCACTTGTAAAAATAGATTCAGGGTGAATTTTATTCTTAATATCTTCTGTATTTCAAGTTTTAGATCATATGGAAGAGTAAAAACAAAATGATGCGGTTTACTTTAAATATTTGATAAGGTTTTATCTACAAGTTTTATCAAAAAGAAGACAGTTAAAGCAGAGCTGATTTTACAGGTAAGTTTTCTGGTAGAATAGTAGGGGGAAATCATTAGTACCATAGAGTTTTAAGGAAGTATACCAAACATGTATACCAAATATAACAGCATGTTCATAACATGGAGTGCTAAAATAAACAATGCAGTAAATTTCATAACCCATATAAATAAAAATTTCCCAAAGTTGTTTTTATTTGTAGGGGAGCAAATCATACATTTAAAAAATGCTTAAGTGTTCGGGCCCGGCGCGGTGGTGCAAGTGGTTAAGGTCCTCGCCTTGCACGCCCCAGGATCCCTTATGGGTGCCGGTTCTATCCCAGCAGCCCCGCTTCCCTTCCAGCTCCCTACCTGTGGCCCGGGAAAGCAGTCCAGGACAGCCCAAAGCTTTGGGAACCTGCACCCGCGTGGCAGACCCGGAAGAGGCTCCTGGCTTCGGACTGGCATAGCATGGGCCGTTGCGCTCACTTGGGGAGTGAATCATCAGATGGAAGATCTTCCTCTCTGTCTCTCCTCTCTGTATATCCACCTTTCTAATAAAAAAATAAATCTTAAAAAAAATGCTCAAGTGTTCAATATTCAATGGAATAATGTGGAGAATTATTATTTAGTGTAGTTCACCATGGCCATCATTTACCTATATTACCTTAAGTGTATCTGCTAGCATCTGAGGCCTTCTAGAAGTGGAAGGATGCCTACACTAGTATTTAAAATTTCTTTCCAATTCAATCACTGGCACTTGATACAGGTAAAAATTTTTAAAAAGTGGATAGCTTTAGTAATTTTTAAAAGCAATGATTCCACCTTGGCAACTTATGTTGTTAAGGACAAGCCTGTGCTCTCTTTTAGGGACACAGAGCACCCTGAACTCCAGGAATTTATGAGTGTGGGGCTCAGTTATTTCCAACCTCAATAATGGAAAGTTCCCTTCAGGATCTCTTTCAGAAACTATTGATTTTCCAGCACAGTGTGTACTTATCAGTAATGCCAAGATTTTGTGGCATCATCTGGCCATGTCATTAGAAAACAGCTGAAACCTAGTCGTTGGTTCTTTTTTTTTTTTTTAGTGAAATTCAACCTAATGGAGTTCGCTATGCACTGTGAATAAAGTGCCTTTCTATGCATCAATCTAGAATTATGTATGCTTTAGAATTTGTTCCTTTGTATCTCTTCAAAATTATGAAGATCATAATTTATAATGTTTTCATTTTAGAGAATAATTTAGATTTTTTAAAAAAAGATTTGCTTCAATAGCTTTTTAAAACTTGACCATTAGCAGAAAAGAAGACAAAAATATCAGTCAGGTTCAAAACCTAAAGGTCGAATTAGCGCTGGATTTAGTAAGTAAAAATACCACATGTCCTATACTTCACCTAAACTGTTCTTTCAGCACTTACTCTGAATTTGATACAAGTGCTGATTTTAACAGGATAAAGAGGATATTTTTATGCAGTATTTGGCATGCATTTTTGTGAAAAGCTTACCTATTCATATCCGACATTCAAATTTAGTGGACGGGTGGGTCCTATATTTTGTGAGATAAATTCTAAAACCTGTTTAGACTCCTCAAATAAGGTTCTAAAATGTTCCTACAGTTGGAGTAAAGAACATTTTATAATTTGTTAATACCTAACCTTTGGGTATGAC